CACACACCTGCCTCGTACACACCTGCCTCCTGCACACTCTCCTCGCACACACCCGCCTCGCACACACCTGCCTCACACATACCCGCCTTGTGGACACCTGCCTCCTGCACACTCTCCTCACACACACCTGCCTCACACACACCCACCTTGCACACCCGCCTCATGCACACACCTGCCTCATGCACTCTCCTCACACACACCCGCCTCAGGCACACACACCCTCCTCACTCACACCCTCATGCACACCCACTTCACACCCACCCACCTCGCGTACACCTGCCTTGTGCACACCTGCCTCGCACACACACCTCATTCACACACACCCTCACACTGCCTCACTCACTCCATCCTCGTCAGCTGAGCGCTGTGTGAACCAGCCCTGGTAGCCAGAGAGTTACTGACGGGGTCTTCACTATAACCAGTTAACCAGTTAACGGATGAGCCACTAGCTCATCATCGCATCTCCTCAGCTTTCAGGATGAGGAAAGGCCCGACTCCCCCCACCCCTCGCCCCCCGCTTCCCTCTGTCCCGGCTCTACGGCCCCCGCCCCCCATGCGCACACGGGTGCACGTTCTCTCTGCACTGTGTGTGATCTGGACCGGACGGTGACCCCAACCCCACGCGAATGGACACTGCTGACGGAAGCCGCCTCGGCACCCCCGTCAGGTTGCTTTGGTGCCGTCCCGTGTTACCTTTCCCCCACACCAGGATGTTGCCACTTGAATCTCCAGTGATGGTGTCACCATTTTCTGAAAACGTCACGCACAGAACAAACTTTGGCTTTTCTTGCTTCTGCAGAATGCGGTACAGACAACATGGAGTCAGGATGCCGTGGACTGGGGTGATTCTGGCCCCCAGCGCCCCACCCGTGTGCCTCTCCTGCCTGCCATGACTTCTCTGTCACAGAGAGGACTGGTGCTGGGGGGCAGGCAGGGGGTCGGGGGGCTGTGGGGGGGGTGAGGGGGGGTGGGGCGTGCTGTTGTGACTGGGCCCGAAGTCAGGCCCAGATGCAGCCACAGCGGCTCCCCAGCGCAGCCTCTGGGGAGGTGGGGAGGAGGAGGGGTCCCCTGGTGCTCCCAAAGGCCAGATGAACAGCAGAGGGTGCACCCCAGCCACGTGCACCCCGCACACCCCTGGGCCCCTTCACTGGGCTTTGCTCCCTGTGTGGTCCAGTCTTCCTTCTCCGTATCCCCAAGACATGAAGGGCCCCCCCAACTCTGTGGGATGCCTGGGCATAATCTTTGTCACTAGGCCAGTCAGTAGCACCCCCACACCTGCCAGTAATTAAAGGGAACGCTAAGGCCAGCGCCTCACAGCTCCCTCAGAGCCTGCTGCCCACTGTGCGGCTTGGGGAAGGCTCGGACAGAACGGCCCTTCGACTGTACCTCGAATAACCCTTGCTTCTTGATGAGCGCGCTGCCTTCTAGTGTCCAAAAGTAGAGGTGCGATTTTCCGCAGGTGACGATGATGTTGGTGTCTGTGGGGTGGAAGTCTGCAGCGAACACAGCTTCGTTCGAGCACTGAGCGAGACAGGACAAGCACGTCTCACACCTCTTAGCCACTGCGGAAAGCAGTCGAGGGAGGACCCCAGGCGGCTGAGTCCTGTGTCGCCCCCCGACCCCCACGCTCTCCGCCCAGCGCGTCTCAACGCCCGCTGGGGTCTGCCCGGGGCCCTGGCCGGCCGTGGCCCTGAGGGCTGAGTGGGCGCCGCGTCCTCCCGGAGGGCCCCTGGCTCGTGGGGCCGCGGAGGGGCAGGGGCCGGGACACTTGAGGACTGAGGCCTCCTGTCCTCCTCCCGGCAGGGACAAGCGGGAGCCCCGGCTCCACAGAAGCGCCCGTGGGGGTGAAATGCAGAGACCTCATCCCGTGGGGGCAGGGTCCTGGGGTGCCCGGGAGCACGGGGTGGCAGAGCCCACGCTCTGGCTGGGCCGCTGCACCGCGCGGGAGTCCGTCCTGCTTCTCACCCTGGGACTGGGCTGGTGCTTCCGTGACCAGCACGGTCCAGGGCTGGGGGCCCTGGCTCTCGGGGGTCATTAGCGACCCCTCACCCGTTCCCGTGACTTAGAACTGAATCCTGGTCAGGCTGTTCTGGCCCTGACTGTCCCTTCTGCTCGACACTTGAGTCACAGGTTCTCAACATGGGCACCGACTGGCTCTGGTGATTTCCAACCTAGCAAAAGGCCGAGAACTGGGCACGAGGGAGGCCAAGACCCCGTGCAGATGTGGCAGAGAGAGATGTGGCAAGCCCTGCCAGGCCTTGGGAAAGGGGTGGGAGAGCGGCGGGGTGGGGCTGCCAGGGCGGCGCAGCCCCGGGGGCCCACACGGCCTGGGAGGCACCTTCACGTCCGCCAGCCGTTCCTCTTTCTGCCAGTCCCACACGGACAGCACGTGGTCGTTGGAGTCATCCACTGCGCACAGGTGGCTCCCTCCGTTCTGGAACAGAGCAGCCAGAGAGGAAGCCCCCACTTGAGGAGGACACCCCTGGACGTGGTTCAAAACCAACATGGACTCCACTCTTAATCAAGAGCCCCCTCTATTTTAGTTACAGGATACCCGCCCTGCTCACTGGGGCACCACCCGGCCCCCAAGCCACACCCACAGCTGCCTCCTGGGGGCATGGCCACTGTCAGCTCTGGGCAGGCGGCGGGGTACAGGGACAGCGTGGGGGTGGGGGAGGCGGGGCGCTCGAACGCGAACGCAAGCACCCGCGCTGGTGGGCGTGTTTCCGGCCCGCTGAGGAGGTGGTCCGGGGTGGGCACCAGAACCTCTGAGGGTGCGCGGGACCAGCCCTGCCCACGCACAGCAGCAGCCCGCCCGGTGAGCACCGCTGCCTCCCCGCCCCCAGGAGCAATCGCAGGCCAGAGCAGCCGCCCGGGGTCGGGGTCGGGACCATGTCACAGCAGGGCTTTGCTCAAGTCCAAGCCCACCGGCGGGGGAGGGGCGTGTGTGCCCGCAGCAGCGTGTGTGAGCGAGGGGACGGGGGCGGCTTCCCGAGGGGCTCTGGGCGGCAGGGAGGTCTCCCCAACGTGCTCCCGGTCTGCCACGCCCAGAGGGCCGGCTCATCCTTACAGATTTTGAGAACGAGATGCAGGTGACGGCTCGGTCAAAAAACCCGGTTCCGATGACGTGCAGCGTGTTCAGGGTGACAGAATCCCAGACGCGGACGTGCGGGAGGAGCTGCTGTTTGGAGAAGGGGCAGAGTCACCGGCCGACGGCGACGCGGACCTGCACCCTGGCCACAGGGTCTTCAGCCGCAACTGCAATTCTGTCAAAACCTGAGGCCGCTCCCTTTTTAAGGCCCCCCCCCCCCCACCGCAGGGCGGTGGTCAGCAGGGCGGTGGTCAGCAGGGCGGGGTCCCGGTGCCTGAGGAATGCCTAGAGGTCCGGCAAGCCCTACATTTCGGAAAGCCATTCATCCCTTGCAACTGCACCCCGGGAACCGACACCCCAATTGTGCATCTAGAAGCGTCTGAGGGCTCGAAGCAGAAACCGGCAAGAGAAATGGAGTGGCCACTGAGGCCTGTTCTTTCCAAGTCTGCTTCGCCGTTAAGAAGGGGGCCTGCACGTCACACCGAAGGTCCCCTCAGACAGAATGAACAGCATAACATCCCCGGGCCTCGGGAGAGCGCAACAGGCAGATGGATTCTGCACAAATCACAACGACAGTGACGGGAGGAGTCCGAGCCCTCGTCTGTGCTCCGAGGTGGGTGGGTTTGTGCTTCCTCCACGAAAGACAGCACCTCAGCCCCAGCCCAGCCCCAGAGCAGGCCAGCACCCCTGGCGGCCGGCGTCCCGAGGCTGCGGCAGGGACAGACTCCGCCTCTCCCTGGAGAGTGAAAGTGGGCTCCGCTAGAGACCCCATTTTCTCTGGCTCTAGAGCTCCAATTCCATTTTGACATTTGAAGAGGAAATATGCTTTAACCTGCCAGAGGGAGGGACAAATGGTGATGACATTTTAAAAACATAAAGAGGGTCCTCCCTGGTGGCGCAGTGGGTTAACGTGCAGCCCTGCAAGCCAGCCGTGCCCACCTCGGTGCGAGTCGATCCCCAGCCCCGGAGGTGACCACATGTCACAGCGGACCTCTCCAGACCTGCCCGCTGTTCCCCTCAGCAGTGTACCTCATCAGTCTGCCTGTTCTGCTCCCCACTCTGTCTCTGGTGGGTTCTCTCAACCCTGCACCTCTGGCCTGTACCCCAGTTCTATAAGCATAAATAAATAAGCCTTAAAACATATATATAGAAGGAGGAAGAAACTATTCCTTTTGCATCTACTTGCTCACTGCAGCTTTTTTTCCTAGTGTACAATTTTTTTTTTTTAAGATTTATTTATGCATACAGAACTGAGGTACAGGCCAGAGGTGCAGGGGCAGTGAGAGGCTTCACTAGAGACAGAGTGGGGAGCAGAACAGGCCGACTGACAAAGTACACTGCTGAGGGGAGCAGCGGGCTGGTCAGGAGAGGTCTGCTGCGCCATGTGGGTCACCTGGCGCCTGCGGAGCGAGGATCGAACTCGTGCGGAAGTGGCTTTGGCTTCTCAGTGCTGTGATTTAACCCGCTGCGCCACCAGGGAGGGCCCTCCAGTGTACAATTTTAACAGAAAACAGTGTAAGGCAACTATTTAACAACTAATATCATTGAAATATTTACTTAGTAATGGTAACATTCGTAATTTTCTGGAAGAAAACGTTGATAAAAATGGGAGCACACAACGTTCTCGCAGATGCACTGTGCACTGGCAAGGTGCAGGGCAGATCTCAGCATGCCACCGGGGCTCAGGGTGAGAGCGGCGATGGCCACAGCGGGCGGGAACACAGCTGGAATCCGGTTTTGGATTTCTGTCTATTTGTTAAGTCTAGTTTTTTCTTTCATTCTTTCAAATACAAATTAAAGTCTTGCCGACAGGTTTGCCAATTTTGTGCTAAAATCCTCCCAGCAGCCTCTGTGGGTTGTGCATGGATGCAAACTCCAGGCACTAAAGCCTGAATTTCGGCCAAGGGTCCCATATCCAAGTGACAATTAGTATTTTTAAGATTATTTCTTTGTAAAATTGGAAATTTTTAAATTAAATTTAAAGTTGGTTTATACTCTCAAATGATTATTTGTTTTGACTTGACCTTTACTGATTAAGTATGTTAATACTGGCATGTTTATGGTGTATAAAAGCCTATTTTAAAATTTATTGTATTCTCAGGCAAAAACATTGCTTAAAAAAATGACTGAAGTTAAGGTGAGTTTAAGGGGTTTTTTAAGTCACTGTAAGAATTCTAATTTGCAATAAAAAAGAAATCCGATAATCAGATCTAGTCATCAACCAAATGTTCTCAGAGAGTGATTTTCGTTCCCAGGTCACCACAAAAGTATGAAAAGATACCATCACTCACTTTTCCATCCTTGGACGTGCCTGCGACTTGTCCGGTTGCTATTGTGATCCTGTCGGGATGAACCGCCAGGCTAGAAAAGGGATATTTATAAAACAGCGAGTCTTCAAAATAAGATTCACTTTTCCCTTAGATACTTTTCCCTCAAACAAATATAATGTAGCTGAAAGTTGCCATGTCAGAAACAAATGATGCCCAACTTCTTAGGGTCTCACAATGAGCTCTCTCCCCACCCCACTTGTCTTAGACAACAAAGGCATTTCCGTTTCATTCTGATTCCTCTCCCTCCGGGGAATTTTCAAAATAAAGGAAAGAGCATCCTTTCATTCAATCTCAGAACCACTTAATCAGTGGACAGTCTTTATTAAGTCAGTCACATCTTTCTCCGGCAGGAATCTGGTAACTGACCAGGAACATGGGACAAACGGAAATGCGTAAGCCCATCAACTCATCCACCTGCCCTTCCAGAGTCAGCAAATCCCTACCCACAGCCAGACACGAACGGTGGGCGAATTCAACCAAAGGGCAGCCGGCGGCTGGCCAGGCACACAAGCGCGACTTTCTGATCAAAGAAAGGCCAAGGGAGAGGCCGTTAGCAGGTGGGCGGCGCGGAAGCCTGGCAGGTGTCTATGTGAGCTACCTGCGCAGGAAGCATGGGCGGCTGGGTGAGGCCAGGGGCACAGAACACTAAAGAGGTGTCTCAACGGGCCGGGGGCCGGCAACAGCACCACAGAAGGGCGCTCCCCCAATCCCTCTCCGCGGCCCCGTCTTCCGCGATACCCCGGTGCGTCCGCCCCCATGGCCACGGCTCGGCGGGGACCTACCACTTCACGTCGTCGTTGTGGCCGGTATAGTGCCGCTGCAGCTGCTCCTCCACGTTGAACAGCACCACCACCGACGCGATGAAGTACACGGTCTCGCCCGTGGGCAGCAGGTGCAGATTGTTGCGGCAGTCCCGGCCCCGGTACCCGTAACTTGGTGGCGTCAAGAGAAACCTTCTGACTGTCTGAAGGGCTGGCCGGGCACCAGCGTGGCCCCAAGCCCCTGGCCGGGCACCAGCGTGGCCCCAAGCCCCTGGCCGGGCACCAGCGTGGCCCCAAGCCCCTGGCCGGGCACCAGCGTGGCCCCAAGTCCCTGGCCGGCACCAGCGTGGCCCCAAGCCCCTGGCCGGGCACC